CATCGGGGAGTCTGGGGGTATTCCGTACCCCCCGGCTCTACATTTCTCCCCAAGTTATTATAAGTCTTCTGCACTATTATAATCACCTTTCATTGATTTCTTTTACCTGAATCCTTCGGGATGAATGTGATGAGGAAGAAGGTTGCACCGGGGGGTCTGGGGGGGTATGGAATACGAAGATCTAATTAAATCGGTTCTTGCTGGAGCTGGGGGGTATTCCATACCCCCCAGATCCCCCGGTTCTCCACTCCTTCCCAAAGCGTATAGCGCAAATACCATAGAAACCCTGACTGTTAGAAAGAGACTATCAAAAGGAACACCATGAGCTCCTGGAGTATGGAATATAGCTGTCGGGGAAGGAATATTCTAAAGCCCCTTACGAAAAACTACTACAGCAATCCTTAGGGCTGAATGTCATGAAAAGAACGTAGGACCGGAGGGTCTGGAATACGAAGATCTCATTAAATCGGTTCTTGCTGGAGCTGTGGGGTATTCCATACTCCCCAGACTCCCCGGTTCTGCATTCCTCCCCAAAGCGTATAGCGCAAATACCATAGAAACCCTGACTGCTAGAAAGGGACTATCAAAAGGAACACCATGAGCTCCTGGAGTATGGAATATACCTGTCGGGGAAGGAATATTCTAAAGCCCCTTACGAAAAACTACTACAGCAATCCTTAGGGCTGAATGTCATGAAAAGAACGTAGGACCGGGGGTCTGGAATACGAAGATCTCATTAAATCGGTTCTTGCTGGAGCTGTGGGGTATTATACTCCCCAGACCCCCCGGTTCTGCATTCCTCCCCAAAGCGTATAGCGCAAATACCATAGAAACCCTGACTGCTAGAAAGGGACTATCAAAAGGAACACCATGAGCTCCTGGAGTATGGAATATACCTGTCGGGAAGGAATATTCTAAAGCCCCTTACGAAAAACTACTACAGCAATCCTTAGGGCTGAATGTCATGAAAAGAACGTAGGACCGGGGGGTCTGGAATACGAAGATCTCATTAAATCGGTTCTTGCTGGAGCTGTGGGGTATTCCATACTCCCCAGACTCCCCGGTTCTGCATTCCTCCCCAAAGCGTATAGCGCAAATACCATAGAAACCCTGACTGCTAGAAAGGGACTATCAAAGGAAACACCAATGAGCTCCTGGAGTATGGAATATACCTGTCGGGGAAGGAATATTCTAAAGCCCCTTACGAAAAACTACTACAGCAATCCTTAGGGCTGAATGTCATGAAAAAGAACGTAAGATGGGGAGTCGGGGGGGTATTGAGTACGAAGTCTAATTAAATCGGTCAATAGTGGGGCTGGGGAGTATTATACCCCCAGACCCCCGGTTCTACATTCCTCCCCAAAGAGTATAGCGCAAATACCATAGAAACCCTGACTGCTAGAAAGGGACTATCAAAAGGAACACCATGAGCTCCTGGAGTATGGAATATACCTGTCGGGGAAGGAATATTCTAAAGCCCCTTACGAAAAACTACTACAGCAATCCTTAGGGCTGAATGTCATGAAAAGAACGTAGGACCGGGGGGTCTGGAATACGAAGATCTCATTAAATCGGTTCTTGCTGGAGCTGTGGGGTATTCCATACTCCCCAGACTCCCCGGTTCTGCATTCCTCCCCAAAGCGTATAGCGCAAATACCATAGAAACCCTGACTGCTAGAAAGGGACTATCAAAAGGAACACCATGAGCTCCTGGAGTATGGAATATACCTGTCGGGGAAGGAATATTCTAAAGCCCCTTACGAAAAAGTACTACAGCAATCCTTAGGGCTGAATGTCATGAAAAGAACGTAAGATCGGGGAGTCGGGGGGGTATTGAGTACGAAGATCTAATTAAATCGGTTCATAGTGGGGCTGGGGAGTATTATACTCCCCAGACCCCCCGGTTCTACATTCCTCCCCAAAGAGTATAGCGCAAATACCATAGAAACCCTGACTGCTAGAAAGGGACTATCAAAAGGAACACCATGAGCTCCTGGAGTATGGAATATACCTGTCGGGGAAGGAATATTCTAAAGCCCCTTACGAAAAACTACTACAGCAATCCTTAGGGCTGAATGTCATGAAAAGAACGTAAGATCGGGGAGTCGGGGGGGTATTGAGTACGAAGATCTAATTAAATCGGTTCATAGTGGGGCTGGGGAGTATTATACTCCCCAGACCCCCCGGTTCTACATTCCTCCCCAAAGAGTATAGCGCAAATACCATAGAAACCCTGACTGCTAGAAAGGGACTATCAAAAGGAACACCATGAGCTCCTGGAGTATGGAATATACCTGTCGGGGAAGGAATATTCTAAAGCCCCTTACGAAAAACTACTACAGCAATCCTTAGGGCTGAATGTCATGAAAAGAACGTAGGACCGGGGGGTCTGGAATACGAAGATCTCATTAAATCGGTTCTTGCTGGAGCTGTGGGGTATTCCATACTCCCCAGACCCCCCGGTTCTGCATTCCTCCCCAAAGCGTATAGCGCAAATACCATAGAAACCCTGACTGTTAGAAAGAGACTATCAAAAGGAACAACATGAGCACGTGGAGTATGGAATATACCTGTCGAGGAAGGAATATTCTAAAGCCCCTTATGAAAAACTACCACAGCAATCCTTAGGGCTGAATGTCATGAAAAGAACGTAAGATCGTGGGGTTTGGGGGGTATTGCATACGAAGATCTAATTAAATCGGTTCTTGCTGAAGCTGGGGGGTATTCCATACTCCCAGACCACCCCGAATCTACATTCCTCCCCAAAGCGTATAGGGCAAATACCATAGAAACCCTGACTGATAGAAAGAGACTATCATAAGGAACACCATCACCATGAGCTCCTGGAGTATGGAATATACCTGTCGGGGAAGGAATATTCTAAAGTCCCTTATGAAAAACTACTACAGCAATCTTTAGGGCTGAATTTCATGAAAACGAACGTAGCATCGGGGAGTCTGGGAGTATTCCGTACCCCCCGGCTCTACATTTCTCCCCAAGTTATTATAAGTCTTCTGCACTATTATAATCACCTTTCATTGATTTCTTTTACCTGAATCCTTCGGGATGAATGTGATGAGGAAGAAGGTTGCACCGGGGGGTCTGGGGGGGTATGGAATACGAAGATCTAATTAAATCGGTTCTTGCTGGAGCTGGGGGGTATTCCATACCCCCCAGATCCCCCGGTTCTCCACTCCTTCCCAAAGCGTATAGCGCAAATACCATAGAAACCCTGACTGTTAGAAAGAGACTATCAAAAGGAACAACATGAGCACGTGGAGTATGGAATATACCTGTCGGGGAAGGAATATTCTAAAGGCCCTCATGAAAAACTACCACAACAATCCTTAGGGCTGAAAAGAACGTAAGATCGGGGGGTCTGGAATACGAAGATCTAATTAAATCGGTTCTTGCTGAAGCTGGGGGGTATTCCATACCCCCCAGACCCTCGGTTCTACATTCCTCCCCAAAGCGTATAGCGGAAATACCATAGAAACCCTGACTGTTAGAAAGAAACTATCAAAAGGAACATCATGAGCTCCTGGAGTATGGAATATACCTGTCGGGGAAGGAATATTCTAAAGCCCCTTATGAAAAACTACCACAGCAATCTTTAGGGCTGAATGTCATGAGAACGAACGTAGCATCGGGGAGTCTGGGGGTATTCCGTACCCCCCAGTTCTACATTTCTCCCCAAGTTATGCATATAATCACCTTTCATCGATTTCTTTTATACCTGGAAGATATTCCTTATCTCCCAACCTCCGCTTTGTAACGGTCACCCCCAAAACGTTCCTGTGTTCGCCACGTGGGAGCCTTCAGAACTCTAATAAAAAATCTCTAACGAGATTCGGAAGTTGGGGAGGGGTTGGGGTGTGCTTTCGTTAATTTGGAAATCTACCACATATTATACAAATTAATTCTCGATTCTATTGCGTTGCTTAATCTTCAGCAGCTGATTGGAACTCGTTAATTCTGCCTCGTGGTATTACGCGCGAAAAATTGCAATTTTATGTTAAGCTGGGATGAGAGTGTCGCCATTTTAACCGGTTTATTTTTCGATAGTCCAGTTTCGAAATGTAAATGACTTAGATTCATGTTGTAATCGCCCAAAACGACTATGCTTCTTCCTCATTTTTCGCGTCCTTCATTGATCGCATTCATTTTTCAAAAGATGCAAATTGAGAAGAACCACAGCCCGAAGGTTAATATTAAGATCACCCACAATATTTAATTTTCCAAAAAAATTACGCCTAATTCCAAGAACTTTCTAAACGAGCACCCAAAAAAAATGCAGGAATCTAGTTAGATAATTGATGGTGTGCTAATCTGTTGTAATTTCAGTACCTGTAAATTTCGCCCGTTCGCCAATTTCGCATCAAATTAGAATTAATTTACTGCACCAGAGCGTTTAGAGCAATAAATTACTGCAATAGTAGTTAAAAGACTGCGGCGGTTTTCCACTTTCGCGTCGCGACACGGACGGAAAAGTAAACTCTGTCACACCGAATTCTTACAAATGAGAGGGAAAAATCCGAAGATAAGATTGATCGCTTAATAAACCGGTAGACGCAACTTTTATGTGGAAGTTTTAACATCTTTTACAAGTTTTTAATTAAGAATTTATGAAATAAATTTAAATGCCGATCTTATCGTCGGTCATTTAAATTTGTTAAATTCGAATTCTTCTCTTTTTTCGGCGTAGCTTCCGAATTTCGTTAGCGTTTTAAATTATTACAATTCACTTTTCCGAAAAAAAAAGGTCCAGCCTACTTGAGAGATTAAAATTATATTTTATTGTATTTAAAATTTACAGTCGACGTCGTTATAAAAGTTTATTGCTTTCCTGCAATAACTTCGCGTTCTGCACAAAAATTGCCTTTATTGAAAATATGATTTACTGTTACTCGTTTGATTTTATTATCTTCTTCGTTTTATGCCCCTTTCCCTTATATGCGTTTGCTTTATATATAAACAATTAATTGTAGGAAACTTGTTTCAGGAATGACTGAATGTTGGCTGCAATGGCAACAGTTACATCTGGGCTCCTTTCGCCGAATTCCTACGGGTTGAGTTCGGGTAAGTGCGCAATTGTTTTGGGGTTTTTTGAATCTGAAATTGAATTTGAAAAACCTGCCTTTGCAATTCTTCCCCCAACAGATTTTTCAGATTTTTTGATCCGGAACCCATTTTTCTTCACTCTCTAAATCATTGAAAACAAAAAACTTCAAAAAATAGTGAGAATAGGTTTTTTTAGAAATGTATTTCACTTCGAACCCTTACGAAGGGTCAAAATTCAACTTTCCTCCTCAATTCTTGCACAGGAATCCGTGGAATTCCTCTGCACTTGAGTGATTCACTCTGACTTGATTTTTTTGTTGAAGTTTGTCCAGAACAAATTCGGAATTCTGAAAAAAACAGGAAATGAGAAATGTATTTCACCTCGAACCCTTACGAAGGGTAAAAATTCAACTTTCTTCCTCAATTCTTGCACAGGAATCCGTGGAATTCCTCTGCACTTGAGTGATTCACTCTGACTAGGTTTTTTGTTGAAGTTTGTCCAGAACAAATTCGGAATTCTGAAAAAAACAGGAAATGAGAAATGTATTTCACCTCGAACCCTTACGAAGGGTAAAAATTCAACTTTCTTCCTCAATTCTTGCACAGGAATCCGTGGAATTCCTCTGCACTTGAGTGATTCACTCTGACTAGGTTTTTTGTTGAAGTTTGTCCAGAACAAATTCGGAATTCTGAAAAAAACAGGAAATGAGAAATGTATTTCACCTCGAACCCTTACGAAGGGTCAAAATTCAACTTACTTCCTCAATTCTTGTACAGGAATCCGTGGAATTCCTCTGTACTTGAGTGTTTCATTCTGACTAGGTTTTTTTTGTTGAAGTTGGCCCGGAACAAATTCGGAATTCTGAAAAAAACAGGAAATGAGAAATGTATTGCACTTTGAACCCTTACGAAGGGTCAAAATTCAACTTACTTCCTCAATTCTTGTACAGGAATCCGTGGAATTCCTCTGCACTTGAGTGTTTCACTCTGACTAGGGTTTTTTTGTTGAAGTTTGCCCAGGACAAATTCGGAATTCTGAAAAAAACAGGAAATGAGAAATGTATTTCACTTCGAACCCTTACGAAGGGTCAAAATTCAACTTTCCTCCTCAATTCTTGCAGAGGAATCCGTGGAATTCCTCTGTACTTGACTGTTTCACTCTGACTAGGTTTTTTTTGTTGAAGTTTGCCCAGAACAAATTCGGAATTCGGATGCTTGGCTTCGCCACGAAATTGTGACTACTAAGCCCTACCACCACGACAAGGTGCATCCTATGGTAGGGAGAATAGGGACACTGCTTCGGCCTCGGTGGCTGCCCTGTCTCGCCTCGCCCTCTCACCACCCTTCTGATGACGTTTTGGTTTCTTCATCTCCTCCGCCACGCCTTGCTGTAAGACACTATAAGACAGCATATTTCTACCCTTCCGAAATTACGTTTGAGTTTTGACATGTTTCTCGTAGCAATCGGGCGAGGCGAGGCGGCGCAGCCGCCGAAGCCGAAGCTATGTCTGTTGTTGTACCAATTTCTTTTAAAACAATGGTGGACATTACTTTAGCGTCAGCAGCCGCCTGTTTCTCCTTACCAATTTATAGAATAGGGACCTAGTTTCGGAAGAAGGAAAGGGTGAAAAAACCAAAACGCAATCGGAAAGGTAGTGACAGGGCGAGGCGAGGCGGCTCAGCCGCCGAAGCCGAAGCTATGTCCTTATTCTGTAAATTAATAAGGGGAATCGGCTGCTGAAGCTTAAGTAATTTCCACTATTGTTTTAAAAGAAAGTGGTGCAGTAACAGACATAGCTTCGGTTTCGGCGGCTGAGCCGCCTCGCCTCGCCCTGTCATTACTCTTCTGATGACGTCTTGGATTCTGCACCTCCCTCTTTACGCCTTGCTACAATACACTATAAGAAGCCATGGGCTACCCTGCTGAAATGACGTTTTGTGTTTGACAACTTTCTTATAGTAATTGGGCGAGGCGAGGCGGCGCAGCCGCCGAAGCCGAAGCTATGTCTGTTATTGTACCAATTTCTTTTAAAATAATAGAGGAAATTACTTCGGATTCGGCAGCCGCCCCGTTTCCCCTTACCAGTTTATACAATACCGACATAGTTTCGGCTGCGCCGCCTCGCCTCGTTCGATTACTACCCTTCCGGATGACATGTTACACCTGGGTGTAATACACTACAAGAAGGCATTTTTACCCTTTCGAAATGACTTTATTTTTGACAACTCTGCCATAGTAACCGGATGAGGAGGGTGTCTTGTTATAGAAGAAATAACTTCTGTTTCAGCAGCCGTTTCCCTTCGCATTTATCACGCCTTTTAAGTGTGTAGTTACGGGGATTTTACAAGATCTTTCAAATGGAAAACAGGGGGCGGGGGGGGTTGTTGCGGTAAATTTCAGTTTTGCGCCATTGATAGTATCCTTTTTTCTACTGTGCGCAAGTAATTCTTTCGCTATTTTGAAATTACCGCTTCTATTTAGCCTCCCTTGCATTTGGGGGGGGGGGGGGCTGTAAATTTCAATTTTGAGTCTGCGATACATCTATTTTGCAAAATGTAGGTATTTTTTCTCTGTTCAAAATTATTCAATTAATTTAGTTTCTTTTGCATTTACTTAAAATGCGAAATTTTAAGTTGTGCATTTGAAAAGGTTGGGGGGGGGGGCGCAATTGTGTGTCAATAACATCTTTTTTCTGCTGATTTTCTTCTGGTACAATTTAGTTTCTTTTGCATCTATTTGGAACTTTTCAAGCGAGAGGGTGGGGTGAGGGGTGTACATTTCAATTTTGTGTCAATAATTCTTTTCCAGCAAAATCTAGGTCGTTTCATTTCTACTTTGAAATTTTTGTGCCAGGCCTCTTAAATTAGTGGTGAGGGTTGTTTCCTATGTTTGAATTTATTTTCGAGTAGGGCTCTAGACTTTGAAGATTTAAAGAAATTCCTTCTAGTAAATACGATTTTCTTTCTTTTCACAATCCTCCTTGTTACCAGAAGATCATCCAGACATAATTGTTAAAGAAGACGAAACGTGTTTCTGTTTTGTTGTAATCGATCTCTGAGGAGTAGGCAATTTGTTGCGTGCCAAGGTTTCGGATTGGTATCCGAATCAAGCGCTTGTGTTATTAATTAATTACGAAGCCTTAATACCGAGGAATTTGTTATTTGTAAACTGGCTTCGGATAGTAGTAGGTACGTTCACTCGCAATATGAAAGCAAGGCGCGGTGATTTGAATTTTGATGAACCGTGTATATAATTAAATTCCCATTCCTAAGCGCGCGTATTTGTTAGATAGTAAGAACACGAATTTTTTGCGAAAAATTCATCCAAGTCTGCGTTACTTTTTACCTAAATATTTCTCTAAATAAATTCAGACGTGACGCTTTTACAAAAATGATAAAAAGTGGACGGAATTTGTCGGGCCACAATTAAATTTTCATTTCGTAGAATACCGGGAACTGAAAAATATCTTAACCCCGTCTTTTTTCTCTTCCATTTCAGATCAGACGGTAGCCAAGATGGCCGCTGAGAGTGGCGGCGTCGTCGAATCGGAGTACAAGCGTTACCGTACCGTGCCGATTTTCAGCTCGAACGTCGACTCGAGCGACTCGGAGCCGGAGGAGGGCGGCGGCGTCTTCCAAACCGCGATGATACCAAAGGACGCCATACCGAAACGGAACAAGCGGAAGAACTTCAAGCCGCGCTGTACCAATCTGAATTACTCCGACTCGGACAACAACGAGGTCCTCAACCTCTCGGAGTTTAGTAATAATAATAATTTAAAGAACGTTCGGAGAAGAAAGACGCTCGCGACGCCGCGTAAGGTGATCGTCGACGCGCGACAATCGCCGATGGATCTCAGCAAAGCCAACGATTCGGATTCGCCCTCCGACGACTCCTACCTAACCGAAAATGAAAACGTCGCCGACAACGAGGACGACAACTCGTCCGAGAACGACAACAAGATCCCGTCGAGCTTCTCGATACACAACCTCTCGAAACCGCACGTGCCGGAAGCGGCGGCGGCCGCCTTCGGTCACGGCGTCGGCCAGGTTTCGGACATGCGGGAGTACGCCGTCAATACCATGAGGGAGCTGCTGGGTATTTACGGTCTCACTTCCGAGGTCGCCGAATCGATCTCGCGACAACTTCCTATAGCGGCCTTTAGTAGCGGTAAGTGAATCCCTAGGAATAAAACCGGTACCGAATTAATTGTCTTAATCGATGACTCATTCATATTGCGCTACACGATCTAAGGCATCCATAAATTACGTTGTGGCAAATGCGAGTGCGCGTACGTAGGCCAAACGGGCAGGAATTTATTACTCGAGCGATGCTGATATTCGTAATTTACATTGTGCAAGTTGCAATTTCACTTCTACTGGCCTTAATACGTCACAATATTTTCGCTTTCCTTTGTCAGCGTATCGTTCATCGACCAATCTGCAATGGGAAATTTAGTACCCGTTTTAAAAAGGCGAATTTTAGGAGTAAAAGTCACTTACAGCAGGTGGTGGAAAATTGGAATCAACCTTCAACGTTTCAGTCTCCGGTAGCACTGAAATAGCACAACTCCAACATCAAACATGAGCGCATTTTCACTGACGGATTCACTTTTTGGAAACGCCAACTTGCTACCTACTATATTAAAATTGAATTGGAAGTATAAATGTTATCTTGAAGGTTCCCTTTCACGGAGCACAAAAGTAGCACTGAAATAGCATAACCCCGAAACTTTCATTGAACGCATTTTTACTAGCAGAAATATTTGTCCTTTTTTTTTGAAACGTCGACATCGTTCACAACGTTCATGGTATCAGATAGCACCAAGGTAGCACTTAAGTGTAAATTAATTAGCACAAAAGTTAGACATTTCCAGTCGCCATTTCTGTGACTTTTATTTAGTTGATTAATTAAGTAAAAGTAAATTGAATTGGCGAACTTTACCACTTACAAACGCCTTAATAAAATTACATTTTAATGATCGTATATAGTGGAATTACGGGCTCTTAATTTGCCGCACGTAGGCAGCGCTTTTGTATATGGCTAAACTGCTTCACGCGCGCTAACATCCTAATGGAAAATCAACATTCTCGACTTTTTCTCGTGAAATTAAAGCAAATTGGTTAATGCACGACCTGCACAATTAATTCCGGCGTTTGCCGCTGCATATTCGAGCATTGCAGTTCGGTTACATTAAAATAAAATAATGTTGGCTTTCAAAGTTGTATACTGTCTTACATGCAATCCTAATTAATTAGCACCATATTAATTACGTAGTTTTTGGTCAAAATTCTTTAATTTTTGCGTTGTTCTTGGTCTTAAAAATAAATAACTAACGATTACAGAGAACAATATTCAAAAAGACGTGTGTGGTTTCAAATAGCACAAAATTAGCACTGGCAAAGTTCACTTTTTTTGTTGCTAAAGCTCAATTTCACCATTCGCCCAAGAGTTGAGGTTATATTAGCACTAAAAATGGGCGAACAATGTTCAAAAATAGATGCGTCCATTTTGTGGTTTCAAATAGCACAAAATTAGCACTGGAAAATTTTACGTTTTTTTGCTAAAGCTCTATTCGATTGCTTGATCAATACGTCACCATTCACCCAAGAGCTGGGAAAAATGGGTAAACAATATTCAAAAAGAAATGTACATTTTGGGGTTTGAAATAGCACAAAAGTAGCACTGTCAGATTTTACATTTTTCTCCTAAACCTTTGAAGGTCTCTCAGGCGAGCCTCGAGATCACTGGTGATCACTCGTGATCATTTTTCAATGAGGCCTATAGAACGTAACAGTTTGGGGGGGGGGGGGAGTCTAACACCGGGGGGTCTGGTGGGTATGGAATACCCCCCAGCATACATTCCAGGAAAGAAATATTCTGTGAATCTCCATCCCGAATTGTTACTAAGAGTTCCTTCTTGGAATGTACGTACCTGAGGGGTTTTCCATCCCCCCCTAGAACCCCTGGTGTTAGATCCTCCCTTAAATTGTTAAGCCTTCAGAGCTCGTGATCATTTTTCAATTAGGCCTATAAGGACGTAACAGTTTTGGGAGAAAGTCTAACACCGGGGGGTCTGGGGGGTGTGGAATACCCCCCAGTATACAGTCCAGGAAAGAAATATTCTGTGAATCTCCATCCCGAATTGTTACTAAGAGTTCCTTCTTGGAATGAACGTACCTGAGGGGTTTTCCATCCCCCCCAGAACCCCTGGTGTCAGATTCTCCCGTAAATTGTTAAGCCTTCAGAGCTCGTGATCATTTTTCAATTAGGCCTATAAGAACGTAACAGTTTTGGGAGAAAGTCTAACACGGGGGGGTCTGGGGGGTATGGAAAATCCCCCAGTATACATTCAGGGAAAGAAATATTCGGTGAATCTCCATCCCGAATTGTTACTAAGAGTTCCTTCGTGGAATGAACGTACCTGAGGGGTTTTCCATCCCCCCCAGAACCCCTGGTGTGAGATCCACCCTTAAATTGTTAAGACTTCAGAGCTCGTGATCATTTTTCAATGAGGCAAATAGAACGTAACAGTTTTGGGGGAAAGTCTAACACCGGGGGGTGTGGGGGGTATGGAATACCCCCCAGCATACATTCCAGGAAAGAAATATTCTGTGAATCTCCATCCCGAATTGTTACTAAGAGTTCCTTCTTGGAATGTACGTACCTGAGGGGTTTTCCATCCCCCCCTAGAACCCCTGGTGTTAGATCCTCCCTTAAATTGTTAAGCCTTCAGAGCTCGTGATCATTTTTCAATGAGGCCTATAAGAACGTAACAGTTTTGGGGGAAAGTCTAAGACCGGGGGGTCTGGGGGGTATGGAATACCCCCCAGCATACATTCCAGGAATGAAATATTCTGTGAATCTCCATCCCGAATTGTTACTAAGAGTTCCTTCTTGGAATGTACGTACCTGAGGGGTTTTCCATCCCCCCCTAGAACCCCTGGTGTTAGATCCTCCCTTAAATTGTTAAGCCTTCAGAGCTCGTGATCATTTTCAATGAGGCGCGTATATGGAAGAACGTCCAACAGTTTCGGGGGGAAAAGTCCAATACGGGGGGTCTGGGGTATGGAATACCCCCCAGTATACAGTCCAGGAAAGAAATATTCTGCGAATCTCCATCCCGATGTTTACTGAAGAAGTTTTCCATTACATGGGAATACGAAACAGTACACTGAGGGGCATCTTTTTCCCATCCCCCCTCCCCCCCAGGACCCTGGTGTTAGATCCCTCCCTTAAATTGTTAAGCCTTTAGAGCTCGTGAATCCTGATTTTTCCAATGAAGGCCCTGATATAGAACGTAACAGTTTTCTGGGGAAAAGTCTAAGACGGGGTCTGGTGGGGTATGGTATATATCCGCCCCAGTATACCCACCGATCAGGAAAGAGAATATTTCTGTGAATCTCTTAATTCCCGAATTGTTTAACTAAGAGTTTTCTCTTGGAATGTTACTGTCACCTGACGGGGGTTTTCCACATCCGCCCTCCCGCCCCAGAACCCCTGTGTGTGGTGTTAGATCCACCCTTAAATTGTTAAGACTTCAGAGCTCGTGAGCATTTTTCAATGAGGCAAATAGAACGTAACAGTTTTGGGGGAAAGTCTAACACCGGGGGGTCTGGGGGGTATGGAATACCCCCCAGCATACATTCCAGGAATGAAATATTCTGTGAATCTCCATCCCGAATTGTTACTAAGAGTTCCTTCTTGGAATGTACGTACCTGAGGGGTTTTCCATCCCCCCCTAGAACCCCTGGTGTTAGATCCTCCCTTAAATTGTTAAGCCTTCAGAGCTCGTGATCATTTTTCAATGAGGCCTATAAGAACGTAACAGTTTTGGGGGAAAGTCTAAGACCGGGGGGTCTGGGGGGTATGGAATACCCCCCAGTATACATTCCAGGAAAGAAATATTCTGTGAATCTCCATCCCGAATTGTTACTAAGAGTTCCTTCTTGGAATGAACGTACCTGAGGGGTTTTCCATCCCCCCTCCCCTAGAACCCCCGGTGTTAGATCCTCCCTTAAATTGTGAAGCCTTCAGAGCTCGTGATCATTTTTCAATGAGGCCTATAAGAACGTAACAGTTTTGGGGGAAAGTCCAATACCGGGGGGTCTGGGGGTATGGAATACCCCCCAGTATACAGTCCAGGAAAGAAATATTCTGCGAATTCCATCCGAATTGTTTACCTTAAGAGTTCCTTCTTGGAATGAATCGTACCTGAAGGCGTTTTCCATCCCCCCCCCCTAGAACCCCCGGTGTTAGATCCTCCCTTAAATTGTGAACCCTTCAGAGCTCGTGATCATCCTTTTTCAAAGAGGACTATCGAACTTTCTTTTGCTGAAAGGTATCCCACATCTCTTAAATTCTCTGTCCGATGGCCCTCTTTAAAAATTAACCACAAAAGTGTTGATGTGAAAAACGATTGGAACAACAAAAGTAAAAAATTTGGGTCAAATTGCAACAGGAAACATGCACAATCGAAGCGTCACGTGGTTTGGGGGTGTTTTTCCTTATTTGTGAGTGGCGATTTTTGTTTAAATTGACGATTGTGTTTTTTAAATGTCAAAGTTTGGGGTGTCTCTGACCGATACGAGACAACGAACCTCTACCGTGAAATATTAGTAAAACGTGTACTGTGTGTTTTTCAAATATAAACGTCCCCAATATCACTTAAAATTTAAGTGGCGAAAGGGATTCCCAAACTTGGCCTCCATGCCCGCCGTGCGTAAGATCGAAATTTGTGTGAACGCCGCTATTTTAACACTGTAGAATGTGTGATATTCATTAATTACACATCTTCTCTTCTTTTCCCCGACACGAATAATTACCATTCGACCATCATTTTCTACTTAATGCTATGTTTTCGAAACCAGCTGTGCATACAACACATCTGTTTTATTGTATTTCTTCCAGTTTGGTAAATAGAGTTCCGTTCTTATTAAAACATTGACGGGTTTTTGTGTGGAATTCGTCTAAATATGGCGAATAATGAGTTCGATCGGGGGGGCCACCGCGTGACTTGCAAAATGCCCCCCCCCTCCTCAAACACCGGCGAGATAAAATCGGTCGTTAATTACAGGAGGAGAACGTTTAAATAGCGTCCATTTGAGCAGAGAAACTTTGTGATTGGCATCTATGATATCTCCTCTCCATATAATAATTGTCTTTTTCGAGTACGTTG